GCGATTCCAGAAGGAACTTCAAAAATGTATAAAATTGACAATAACTTTCGATGAGTCACGTGATTGTCGCGCGACAAATCCATACATTTTGGATTTTCGTTATGAATTCGATTCGAAGCGAATGCGCTTGAAGTTCCTGGCAGTTCTATCATTAGTTCGAATTTTCACCACCGTTACCAACGGCAACCGTCAGCGTCAAATTGGCGCATATCAAATAGGCACAAAAGACCACGGCTTATAGCCTGTCCAGAGGTCAGTGATGTAACACTTACATAGGCATAGCCGGCGGGTACATAGGCGATGGGTGAAGTATATTATAGGACGCGGGCGCCATGTGATGCGAGGATGGGTCGGCTCTGAAAATAACCACAAATATATTTAAAAAAAAGTAAAAGTGGACCTCATTGAAATTTAAAACAAAAAAAAATAATTTAAATTTTAAAATTAATAAAGACAATAGCCATACAAGTGTCTAATATTTTCAACTAGCGGCGGAAAATAAAAATAATAAACATTATTAGTAGCCTATGTGTTCTTCCTGACTATGTTCTGTATGTATGCCAAATTTCATCAAGATCCGTTCAGCCGTTCTGGAGATATCTTCAAACAAACATCCATCAATCCATCTAAAAATTCGCATTTATAATATTAGTAAGAAGTAGGATCAGCTAGCATTAGAAAATTTTCTAACTTATGTACTTACAATCTAGAAAAGTCATTATTTGGTCCCCTATATGACGTCATAATTCTATCGGCAAGCTTTAATACAAAATTAATAACAAGCAAAACAAATTATCTTATAAAATATATTTACCATAATTATAATTGCTTACATTTGATATATGACCGGCCTTGATTTATAATCCCGCAGAATTAACAAACTTCAAAATTAAAAGAACATTTAATCAGAATTTAAAACCGACTAAGCCTGTTTAAAAACCTAAGGACTAAGTATCAAGGTAGGCAGAAGGCGCAGGACAGGCATTGGTTATCACTTGTGTTGGACGTAAAGACCCACTTTGGGTCACTGCTCCAGCGGAGTAAGACATTGTTAAATCTAATATTATACAATAGATTCCAGTCCGCTGTATTCTTAGATTTTACTTTTATTTTATATCATAAGGTGACAAACGAGCGAGCGGCCACCTGAAATCGCTGAAATAGCGAAGTGACTGTTGCCCATAGACATACGCAATTACATATGCGTTGCCTACCTTTAATCCACGGAGGAGAGGATGCACAGAAATAAAATATTTCCCCTTCTCATGAATCCTCTCATCCGGAAAGTCCACTTACACTTCCCATCCTTTCCTTATAAGAAAAAGGGTGGGAAGGGAAAGAGAACTAAATTACTAATTAAATTTAAGTTTTTTTTTTCTTGCATATAACAATGTTATTTTTAGCATATAGGCTATATAACGATGCAAACTTTAGACGCTGACGACAATGTTTACAAAAACTTTATAGATTAACTTACGTAAGCAGCGGTTGATGTGCGTGAGGCGCCACCATTGTTGGCAACCCTAGCGGCTGGATGTCCGCTCTGTTGTGTCGCACGCCCAACGTCACCTGGAATATGGATATATAAATATTAATTTAACCTCGGTTTTCTTAGATATTATGATCTAGCGTTTAAAACATATTGCTATATTTGTTTAGTCAAAGATAACCAACTCAAAACACACCTTAAATAAAACGGACCAGTGACCTTGAAAATCTAATTATATGACACTTGTAGACGAACATAATTATCTACCTGTTCTTATGAAACAGAACAATCAAGCAATATTGTCATGTGTTGGGGTAACGACAGTGTGAGCTTACCGTACCGCACCGTATTAAGCGTTAATTTCTGGCATCAAAATCACAGTTTAAAACATATTGCTATCTCTGTTCTGTTCAAGATAAAGACAAGGATGATATGTTTTATAGAGATATTCTGATGTCAGTAACCCAAGTTAAGTGAGGTATAAATGATTGGTACTGACATGTCCGCGGGATGCTGCCTGTGAGACGTATGCGACAGCGCGCGCGTGCGTCGCCCCGCCCAGCGGCACGCCGTCCACTGACGTCAGCAAGTCGCCTGGACGCAGCAACCCGTCTGCAGGACCACCTGGCACACACATTTATATCTTAATAACCATTAATAGAAACCTTTATTTACTTAAAGTAAATAACTAAAAATATATAGAAGAGATTGATTAATATTACTATATTTATGATATTAAAAGCTGACAACATTTAAAAGGTACATAACCAGTTTGAAGTAACCCCCAAAAGCAATTTATTTGAATTTTAATATAAAACGTGCAGAGAACAAGAATTTTAATATTACTGTTGTGTTAGAGCCACTGACCTCTATTAATAGATAGGCCATTGCTTGGAAATAACAGCTTTTGCTTTGTTCCGATATAAACGCACCTATGTTATGTGACAGTTTAATTCTATCTATATTATTAGTACGACTTCACACCACCACTACGCACCGCTATCATCAGCGCCAAAATGGCAAAAATCAATAAGGCACATATACTATGTCTGAGAGCCAGTCCATTTATAGATGTCAGTGGTTTTAACGTATATTACCAGGTACAACGTATCCAACGGCAACGCGACTGCCGTCCTCTGTGCCGCCGACGATACGGAAGCCGAAGCCAGCAGCACCGCGCGCCAGCCGCACCAACACGTCCGCCTCGGGGTCCAGCGCGCCTCCGCTCTCCACCTTCACACAGTGTTAGTATATTCCTTTACCATTTTTAGTCAATTTTCTTCAAATAACAGAAAATTTAGTATAGATATGTTCTATATGTATGCCAAATATCATCAAGATCCGTTTAGCTGTCCTGGAAATACCTTCTAACAAATATCCATCCATCTAAACACTCGCATATATGTAGTACTAGTTGTCGACCGTAAATCCGTCTGTCCACTATTAAAACAACTAAATTAGTAGCCTATGTGTTCTACATCTATGCCGAATTTCAGCGGGATCCATAGAGCAGTTCTACAGATGCCTTCTAACATACATCCATCCATCCAAACGTAAGTGGTGACTCATACCTGTGGGTAGTTGCCGACGTAAGTGCCGGGCTGCGACATGGCGTCGCCCTCGTAGCAAGGCGAGCGTCGCACCGGAGAGTGCATGTGACGAGACGGTGAGTTATCTCGAAGTCTGAAAAATTATAAATCCTACATTAGTTAAAGCTGGAATAGTTATGAGCGTTAAAAGATAAACAATATTTAGGATACACAAAGAACACAATCTTTATCATTTTTAGTTCTCTTTTAGTACTAAGAAAATTAGATAGTAGGTATAGCATTTTTCTAATATCTTGGCTGCTCAGAACATCACAGTTTTAGGTGTGTTGGTGCATAGTAGGATGCGGGGGGAGAGCGCCCCTGGGCTGCCAAGATATTTGAAAAGACCAATACCTTTTTTACTTTGCTAATAGTAAGAAAATAAGAACCTGAGAGGTGATCCTTTAATCCTACTGTTAGAAGAATTGTTTGAAGGCGACTGGCTCTGCAGCCGAGTTGACGGCGAATTGGTCAGTAGACGATCTGTCGCGCTGTTGTTTGACGGCGAATGACTTCTCAGACGACCTGCACACAAGACAAAACTGAATATATCTTATCTGGTGACTTAAAAACTGCTCTATGACATCCCTATTTAGGAGTTAGTTGAACAATCAAACATTTATTTTATAGTGTAAATTGACATAAGAGTCAAACAAAAAAAAACAGATAAAAAAACAATTGATTTTAAAATATGCTATTGGATTGGTTCCTTTCCTTCTTTGTTAATATTTTACCTGTGGAATTGGAAGGCGAGTGCGGGCGTATTCTGCTAGTGGAGGGCGACTGCCGTGACAGACCGCCGATGGCCGCCGTCGTCGGCGAATGAAGCATACCATCTTCTGGAAAACCTGCATAATAAAATAAAATATTTTTACGTCTTTATAATCTTACTTATATTATAAATGCAAATGTTAGGATAGATGTATGGATGAATGTTTGTTAGAAAACATCTCCAGAACGGCTGCATGGATTTCAAAGAAATTTGGCACAGGTGTAGAACATAGACTGGAAGAACACATAGTCTACTAAATAAGTTTTTGTTTTAATTCTGCACGGATAGAGTCGCTGTGGACAGTTAATAAATAATAAAAGATATTCCTCTAAACTTTTATGACTGGGTCATAATTATATTTAAAGGTTAAAATCACATCTTTAACAAAAAATAAATCACCAAACTAACCTCCATTATCACTGCTATCAGCAACACTGGCATTCCCCCTCCAGTACGCAGCGTTCATATCAACGTGTACAGTCGGTGTTGGCACTTCCCCCCAATTTCCATTCCATCTCTCCGCATTCCCTTCCCAAGCATTCCCATTTGCACCGTCCCATTTCTGACCATTCTCTTCCCATTTCTGTCTGTTCCCTTCCCATTTCTGTGCGTTCTCTGCCCAGTTGCGTATGTTATTGGAATTATCTATCCACGTCTCTTCCTGCCATTGTGTGTTGGGTTCGGTCCAGGGTGTGACTACTGGCAGGGTGAGGCGGGCACCTGGAGTACTACTCCGACGTCTCCGGTCCATTAAACTTTCGCGGCTTTCACGGGATTTATGCTCGGGGACTGCGTATGTTGCTTCTGTTAAAAAGCAAAACAAATTTAAAAAAATCTTTACAAATCCAGTTAGGTAGCAATAGGATAAGATTTAAAACAAGACAAATTGGTAAAGTGCCAACAGAAACGCCAACAATTTTTAATATTCTTAAAAAATTACTATCAGTATTTGGCGATAAAAAACGTTAGATTTTTTGACATTTTTGTTTTAGGTAGAATATTCTAAAACACTTTGTTTTAAATGTGTAACCTGTGTTCATGCCATTAAGTCTGTCTCGCAGGCTGTCCTGCGCGGGCGAGCGTAGTTGCTCTGCTGTTGGCGTCTTGCTCCTGCCCAACTGGTTGTTGTTTGCTGACGCTGTATAAAAATGATATTTTAACTTGATGGCAACAGGCAGTTAATATAAATAAAAATAATAAATGTACCTTCCCATAGATTCAGTATAAAGCCGCCTTGTGTAGCATGTAGGAAAACGTATTTAATTATAATAATATTAAGCAATATAATTATTTTTTTTTTCCACTTCTGAAACACTGTATTGAAATATGATTTCATCACTGTTATTGTAACTAAAAATATTGACAAACAATACGTGCGTTTTTAGATAATGGATTGGCACGTCGTTCGAAAGAGAAATCCCATTCCAGGCTTGCCAGAATAAGTACTACGCGGTTGAATTGTCACGTATAACTGAAGAATACTCTTATTCCTCACGGGTATAGTTGTTTTCATATAACTTGGTGGCTCAGAAGGTTGTGCGAGTAGCTGCCCAGAACATAATTGTTGATGCAAAGCGTAAAAGAATGCGAGGTGAGGGCAATGCGAAGCTTGTAGCTCAAGTACAGCTGCCAAGATATTGTAATATTACTATACATACAGGTTGGCTGCAGACGCGTGGCGGAACGGCTGCGCGGCGCACGCGTCACATTGTTGCGTCGCCACACACGTAGCGTTGTCTCGTGCAGCGCCGGACATTCCTTTAGTACCTGAAATTGCTCCACATTAGAACCGTAGAAAATGACATAAAATCTGATCTAATATTTATTACAATCGATTTTGAAGCTGTACTAAATAAACACGTACTTGCACGACATGTTGATGCGGCGCGTGCCTGACGTCTGTGTCTCCGATCTGCAGTAATAAGTCGCCTTCCCGCAGTCCTGCGCATCTACTTCTGTCCAGTACCTTTAGATAGGAAATATTATAATATGTGGACAAAAAAAAATTGTCGCGATATTGAGTCTCGCATTATCTGTTTGTGACGTCATTTTACGCAAATTGGTATCAAACAATCAGATAGATATAATCATCAACAGTGGCGCCACCACTTCAATGGCAGAAATTTCAGAATAAAAGTATCTTCGCGGCTCGGAACATCGTACGAGTAGCTGCACAGAACAATGTGTGTAGCGGGGCATAGTTGCTAGAATCTGAGCCGTCAAGATATTTGAAACATCCCATACTAATGTTATATGAGACGTACCTTCTTGACTTTCTGTCCGTGCACGCTGTCAGCGATGGTGAAGCCGAAGCCCGCAGCGCCGCGGCGTAACGTCAGCGCCAGCTCACGTCCCGGAGACTGCGCACCGCCGCGACTGTCGTGCTCTGAAATAACATATAAGTAATGAAACCGAATGTTGCACATGTAATTATTAGTGGACGCTAATTAGGCAAATTTAGAGAGCAAAATGATTATTCAGTTTCTTTTCTTCCTTTAATTTCCTTAAAAAGAGGTACAAAGCTTATTATGATACAATATAAAATTGAAAACAAAGCAATGTATTCTGTGTTTGTTCTTCGTTTTAAAAATGTAAGTAAAATTACCAGTAGCCAGAGTAAGTAGATGATCAGCGGAGGGACACCGCGGTGGCACGGCGCTGGTCTCCGTGGTGGCCAGTTCATCCAGGTCGAAGGAGCGTGACATAAGCCGGCGCTGGTCAGGGCTGTGCGGAGTCACAGGAGAATTGTCAGTCTCATCGTGTCCCGCCGCCTCGTTACTGTTGGGCGAGTCAAGGTTAAATCTGAAAAATACCAAACATGAAATATTAAAAAAAAAATAGTCAAAGTATAGTCGCTGAGGCAATCAAAGAAGTTTAAAAAACTAACTTGATTGAATGTAATATGTATATTTCAAATGTAAAGTATTTCTTTAGAACTGCAATTTTGTTATGGTACTGTTAACCATTTCTTTCTATCATAATGTCGTTATTTACCTGGGTTTGTGACTAAATCTCCCATTAAAACATATTATCTCAGTTTTATCAACAATAATGACAGGGATGACGATATGTTTTATACAGAGATTTTGCTCTTTGAAATGCATGGTTAGTACTGGAATGGTTTCTTATGTTTAAGCAAAATTCTAATGTCTCTGGAAATCTTCCAACGATATTTACCTGGTCCTCAAAGCCCGTGTGAGTTGCTGCATAGCAACAGCATCAGAAGTAGCGGGCGTTGTTGCGTCCACCGCTAATGTACTGAGAACACGAGTGTTGGGGTCCTCGGAATCAAATGATAGAGGATAACCTGTAATTTAAATAATTTTTCTTTTAAATCTTACTAATATTATAATTGCGAATGTGTATATGGATGGATGGATGTTTGTTTTATGGTATCTCCGGAACGGTTCAACGGATTTTGATGAAATTTGGCACAAATGTCGAACATAGCCTGGAAGAACACATAGGCTACTTATAGTGTTTTTTTACCTACGCGCTGACGGAATCTATAAATAACGGTGAGTTTTTGTACATATACAAAAACATTTTATTTTTGTCTGCCATTTTATGATCATATTAGCCAGATAATACTAACCTCGTACAAAATGTAAGGCGACATCAGTTCCAGGTGTTATAGACTGGAAGATCTGTGCGACCTGAGCGTGTGACAGGCCGCGCACACCGCGGTTGCCCACGCCCACCACCACGTCACCTGGACGAAGGGCACCTGGAAATAGAAAGAAAGAAACTCCAGTACAATCTTAGTAAATCTTGATAATATTACAAATGCGAATGTTTAGATGGATGGATGTTTGTTAGTAGGTATCTCCAGAACAGTTCAACGGATCTCAATGAATTTTGGCATACATATGGAACATAGTTTGGAAGAACACATAGGCTATTTAATAAGTATTTTTAATACCATGCGTACGAAGTCGCGGGCGATAGTTAGTAAGGAATAAATTCTAATGTATTTAGTTCAAAAGCAAATAAATTCAAAGGTTTTAAACGAATGAAAAACACTTTCAAAACTCGTATACACGATGTGCGAACGGAAATTTGACGCCCACTATCCATTAGCAATAAACACAAGAAAGTTCATTGAACGAATTCAATAATTCCAATCGGAAAAAAAACATTTTAAAAAAACTTTAACGAGTAAAATGCGTGGTATTTCACTACTTTTATAAATGCGAAAGTTTTAATGGATAGATGAATGTTTGTTTGAAGGTATCTCCGGCTCAATGGATCTTTATGGAATTTGGCACAAAGGCTATTTTTTTATAATCTCGCGTGTATGGAGTCGCAGTCGACAGCTATCAAGCAATAGAAAGATAGTGATTAATATTATTAGTAAGTAAAGTCTTACCATCAATCCAGGCCGGGCTGTGAGGGACAATGCTGCGTATTTGTAGATAGCCTTCTGTTTCTGGTATACCTTCAGCTCCGATAAGCGTGAAACCGAGACCCTGAAAATTAAAATAAATATTGGAATTTCACGCACCAAGTTTCACTGTGAGAGAATTACCCTCATTTGAATCGGGCACTAATTTGGAAACAATGTATTAATATACGACGTACAACAACATAACTCACACCCGCAATCCAGAGGGGTAGGCAGAAACTATGGAGCTCAATTTGGCGAGGTCCTGACATACCTCTTTCGTTTCTACATTCATACATCTGTGCATACATGTACCTCGGATCCTTACGTGTGTAAAAGTGCGTCTAGGACGTCTCTAACAAACAATATTTTAGATATACGATTTAAGATAGTACACACTAGAGGGAACTTCAATATGAGCCCTTAAAGATCGTAACCATAGTGTCAAACTACCTTTATTCTCGGTATTACAATGTACAAACAAATAAATTAACATAAAAATTATCTTTCTATGGCATTGTCAACTGTAAGAGAACTCTTTTAAAATTAAGCTCAGTACATCACCGAATTTCTATTGTTATGTTACAAACATCGTATTGTGTTTGTACACTTGTATACTTTGTAGTATAAATTAAAAAAGATATATGTATGTAAATTAATTAACACGGACATAACACGAAGAGAAAGTTCGATGTTCACAGATTATCGATTATTAACGATCAATTGGTTTTCATACCTGAGTGCCTTTTGTGAGTGTTATAGTGAATCTCTCCCCGCGTAACTCCCCCCCTGGTGGGGGCCCGTTCGTCTGGCTGACTCCCCCATTTTCTGCTGCTAACTTCTCAGCTGTAAAATACAATTCATAGCAAAATCAGCAACCTAATCTTACTAATATTATAATTGCAAATGTTTGTATGGATGGATGGATTTCGATGAAATTTGGCACAGATGGAGAAAATAAAGTGGACACATAGACTACGAAGTATTTTTTTTAATTAAGCGCGGGCAGAGTCGCAGACGACGACTAGTATGAGAAATAAGTTTGTAAAACCTTTTAGGATGCATATAAGATTATGTGAAATAGATAACCTTGTATAAAATAGTTTTAAAATGTATTAGAAAGACATTTTTGTTTTTAATATTAACAAGTTGTAATATTTGAAGAAAAATTAAAAACGTAAGTCTACTTCAAGTGATCACTCTGCGTAATTAAAGACGCGGGAAGTAGGTAGATTACAAATACTGATAAACTCTTTCTTTCTACATGCACCTACTAATGACTTCCTAGTAATTATTAAAGTTGTAAAAGAAAAAAAAATTCTAAACAGATGAAACCAATGGTTTTAAATAGAAAGTTCTAGTACAATTTTTATAAAATGAACTTTACAGGAAAGGCTTTAGTGTTAAATTCAACTTTATTCAGATAGAAATTATTATAATCCATTTCATACTTAAGCAGGGCTTCATATAATGTTCGCAAGGTTAGTGACGTTGATAATGTAGGAAGCAAGACTAGTATAAAATTATAAGATTAGAAACTTATATGGAAACAACCTTTTTATTCATGGTCATGAGCTCAAACCCTAGCTAATCATGTTAACTCACGTTTATTTCATAATTAGCTGCCGTCTGACCGTGTTATGTTAATATCCGTGTGTAATTAAAAAAAAACTTAATAAGTAGCCTATGTATTCTTTCAGACTATGTTTTACGTCTATGCCAAATTGCAGCGAGATCCGTTGAGCCGTTCCGGAGTTCGATTGTTAACAGATATCTTGACGGCTCTTAACTTCGCGCGAGCTACTGCGCAGAATACAATTTTAAGTGTATTGGGGCTTAGCGGGATGCGGGAGGAAGATACTGCGCAGCGCTCACGATCTTGAGCCACCAAGATATTTGAATGGAACTATACCTCATTGCTTATTGTCTTTAGAAAACTTTAATCATTTAAATTATTTTTATCCAAAAATTTACCTGATTTATGTGACTCCTCTGAGAGCATTAACAGAAAGATAGGAATTTATAATACTTTCAAATAAGTACTTATTGTGAGATAGATAGGAAGGGGCAGCAGCCCTATAGATAATAAAAACATATAAAATGGATATAAAAACTACATTAAATAAGAACATATTGATGTAAGCTGCCCCACCTATACCTAGACTAGAGCATCGGCTTGCGACGCTCATACGTACTAGTCAATAAATATTTAGTACTAAGAAGTACTCTTGCATTTCACCAATAACATAAGCCAAACTCTGATTTTAGTTTTATAATATCACCAACAAATTATCTTACCTCTCAATCTTCTAGCCTGAAGCACAGGGTTTTCATATTGTGTACGCCTATTGATATGGTCCACGTAATAAGAACCATATCTTTCATCGGTGACTCTCTCCCAGCCGTACGGCAGTTCATCTTCCCCGCATTCGCCCAGCGAGTGCTTCCGGACTCTCGCTAACCTTGGATCCAGCCAGTGCGATGTACCAGTATTGTGACTAAGAACCAAAAAAAACAAAATTACTAGTATAATAGGTTTCATATATTTTGGCGGCTCCAACTTCGCTTTGCTGCGCAGCCCGTTAATGACCTTGGGCTGTCAAGATATTTGAAAAGAGCTATGAAAAAGTTAAGTATTCCAACTGTGTAATGCTATTAGTGCCTAATAACACTATTGCTATCTCTGTTTGGCAATATAGGTAATACAGGTGATATGATAGTAAATATTCATTGTAAGATATCACAATAGAATTGTTCCTTTTTTTCTTCTTCATTGATGTTCAATTATTTTAGCATTGGTGAGCAAAATCGAGATTAAAAAAACCTAATAAAGGTAAAACCATGTACCACTACTGCTGTTAATAATAAATCTATGTGTAGCCATTAATTTTGTAGACTTACCTCTTTAACTTTCTATTATAACAAGAGCACATGTTTTACCAACAAAATAAGCAACAATTCAACAATATCTAGAAAGTTCTATAAATAAATTTGCACAGTGTTAACTACACAGCTGACCGAAGGAAACTGATTTCAAATACAAGTCTAACAGTCAATCTAAATTTAGAACTTAAAGAAAAATATTTACTTCAAACTTTGGGCTGCGGTGGATAACTGTTTATTATCAATAGATGGTTTTAATATGAAATTTAGTTCATGGTTAATCTATTTATGTACACAATGTTTTAAAACTATCAACATAGATTGTGGAGGGTTAACAGCTTATATTTTGATACTGTATGTTTGTTTACTTTGCATTGAAGGTTTCCGTCCATGCCTTTGCCAAGAACTCTGATTCTTCAGAAAACCTAACAAGATAGTGAAAACTAGATAAAACAGAGTTAAACCAGAAGAAAAAGTTAATAATAAGTTGTAATATTTGATGCTTTATCAAGCATTTTCTACTACACATTTTTCAAAACAAGCGTTTGTTATATACCTTATAAATCTAACTAATATTATATATCCAAATGATTAGATGGATAGATGAATGTTTGTATGAAGGTATCTCCAGGACAGCTCAATGGATCTTAATGAAATTAGGTATAAATATAGAACAGTCTGGAAGTATGCATAGGCTACTAATTAAGTTTTGTTTCCGCATGGACAAAGTCGCGGGCCACAACTCATCAAGTCATAATATAATAAGTCACTGAGTGGTCATCATTCATTAGATTAACTATGTCACTCGAGGGAGGAACATGAACCTGATTACATCTAATTCTCTAAATTGGTCAAGTCATTAATTATTCAAGAGGTCAAAACAGAATGCAGAATTCATTGGCCAACAATTTTTTATTGTATATAGTTAGAACTGTATAAGAGAGAATCTGAGGGACTGCAATTTTTTCTTCCTTTAAGAGGTTTCTCTGTTACTGAGTTTCTTCGATCAATGTACCTAGCTTATAGAGGTTCTTACTTATCCAGTTATTGCTTGTCAAGGTTCTGTGTAGTACAAACTAATGTTTGCATTATGTATCAACACATTCTTAGTATAAGAGTACAAGAGAATACAGAGTATTATTACAATGTAACTTAGTCATGACACATTGGTATGGGGTATTATAATTTTTGTAAACCTGTTTATATTATTAATGCATGTAATTTTTACTCACTCTATAAAATATCTCTCTCCAGATGGTGTGAAGGCTTTTTCCCACATGGGAGGCAATGGTCCAAGGTTATAATCATCTTCATCCTCCCGCTTGTGTCCAGGGTCTCCAGGTCTAACTCCCACCACAGAACCTCCAGCTGTACCCGCCGTTCCAGAACTATGTGTCGAGATTCCAGCTGATGATAGTCTATCGGAGTCCACTGAGCTCTGTGCCATTGCTTTAGAAGTTGTAACACTTTAACATTTTACTATTCTTTTTAGTTACAATCGTAATTTCTTCCCGCCAACAAACTCACTTAATTTGAAAATAGAACTGACACAATAAAAAAATTATCTTGATAACATTTGTTTCACATTCTTTGCACTTTACTCACCGAATTAAAAGACGTACCGTAAAAACAAAACAATAGTCGCATGCGGGCAAGCCAATGACCACTTATGAGTCATTTTGGGACCTGGTGACTCCTCAGATCGCGTATTTTTTTACCTGTCCGACAACAAGACGATCCACGTAGCTACTAAGTGGACTGTCGTTAGTTTATTGATAAGTCATCATCGGAAAGTGCTTAATTTGTTAGTGCATATCGCCGCCGCGGCAAACGAGAAACGATGTACCGCACTGCAGGTGCATCATAACGAATTATAACGATAAAAACAACATGCATATTTAGCGTCCCTGTGACTTTGGTAACGGTAAATTAGATAACACAAACTAGAACTCCACACTTATGTATGCTAATAAGACACATTAACAAGTTCACTTTCTCACATAAACAGGTAAAATCTCAACTTTTGAAAGTAGGTGCAACAAGTGAGTGAGTAGGATGTCTAGCACGGCGTCTATACAGCTGTTTTCTTTTGAAACTATGCTGCCTATCTGCGTATCTGTATAGATAGCTACCAAAGAGTATGTACAATAAGAGATGGGACTCTTGACTAATTAGATGCACAAACGGAGAATAAAATTGTCATTTTCAATGCTAGCAATATTATGAACTGAAATAAGAGAAAACCTTTAATGTATATAAGGTTTTAATAAGCTAAAATTAACAGTAGAATTCATTTTAGTAGCATTAGATACATTGACAAAGACACTAACAAAACAGATTGTCAATGACATTAGCTTATGGCTGATAGTTACAAGTAAGAAGTTTACATCATTCTCCCGCACTAATTTAAAACATAATCTTTTAAAAATTCTGGTGTTTTACGGGCGCGACCAGATCTACGGAGTATTGGCTCCGGCGGCGGTGATGATGGTAACTCGGTCTCTAGCTCTCTGCTATTATCAAGTATCACAGGTCCTGTCTCATTAGATGAAGGAATCTCCAAGTTTTGGTCTTCTGCTTCCAGAAGTGGTTCTGCGACGTTATCATAATCAGTAGTACGTTCATTATCTGTCCGCAGATCTACCCCTTCTGAACCCATTGGTGCTAGATGACGATTCGACACCGTTGTTTCTCGGCCGTCTGGGAGCCGAATGTATGAATAGTCAGGATTGCTGTGTATCAATTCAACCTCTTCTACTAATGGCTGATATTTATTTGTACGGTTAAATTTCTTCACCAATACTTGTCCAGAGTTTGTAAGCCACGATGGAACAGAAGTGCCGTTAGTAGATCTTCGTGGGTGTCTAAACATTCTTTCATGTGGAGTGCAATTTATGGCTGTACAAAGCAATGATCGAATTGAATGTAAGGCTTGCGGTAATACTTGCTCCCACTTTTCTATTGAAAGATTCTTCGTCTTCAGCGCCAAGAGTATCGTTCGCCAAAGAGTAGAATTCAATTTTTCTACTTAACCGTTGCCTTGAGGGTTATAAGCTGTAGTTCTACTAGTGACAATACCTCGAACATGTAAAAATTCCTGTACTTCGGCAGAAAGAAACGCTGTTCCGCGATCTGAATGTACGTAAGAAGGCATGCCGAATATCATAAACAAGTTGTTAAGGTGTTTGATCACTGTTTTCGAGCTTACATCTGAGCATGGAAAAGCAAAAGGGAAACGTGAAAATTCGTCAATCACGGTAAGTATGAATTTGTTATTATTGTTCGTTGGAACTGGTCCTTTAAAATCTATGCTAAGGCGTTCAAAAGCGGCCGTCGCTTTAACAAGTTTCCTCTGATCATCAAAGGTATTTCGGAAGAATCTAGGTTTTACTTCAGAGCAGGTTCGACAAGATTTTGTCATTGTTCTGACTTCTTCAATGGAATAGGGAAGATTTTTAGAGCGAACCCAGTGAAACATTCTTGTTACCCCTGGATGACAAAGAGCCTCATGCAGCGAGAAAAGTTTTGCAGTACGTGTTTCTACAGTGGCACAAACTCGGGATAGTGCATCAGCAGCATAGTTCTCTTTCCCCGGTCTGTATATAATATCGTATTTAAAAGCAGCAAGTTCCAGTCGCCACCTTTGAATTTTTTCATTCTTTATCTTACTTGAATGTTTCATATTAAACATAAAAGAAACCGAGCGTTGATCGGTTACCAACTTAAAATGTCTACCGATAAGGAAATGTCTCCATTTCTTTAATGATTTAACAATGGCGTACGCTTCTTTTTCAATGGCGGAGTGGTTCTGTTCGCTCGAATTTAAAGTTCTTGAAAAAAACGCCACAGGTCTGGAATTCTGCGTGAGCACTGCTGCAATGGAATGATCGGAAGCGTCAGTTTCGACTGTAAAAGGTATATTTACATCAATTGCATGTATAGAAGACTTTGCGATATCATTTTTCAGGTCTTCGAAAGATTTAATTTGCTCCTCTTTGAGCGGAAAAGTTGTCGAGTTAGCAAGTGAGTGGATCCGTTTTGAAAAGTTTGGAATCCACTTAGAGTAGTGTGCGAACATTCCGAGTGTCCTTCTTAAGGTCAGTAAATCGCTAGGTGGAGGTAAATTAAACAGTGGCTTGAGTCGCTCGCTGTCAGGTTTAATTATGTGGTTTTGAATATTATAGCCTAGTATATTAATTGACTCTTGAGAAAATTTGCATTTTTGTATATTCAGTGTTAAACCGTATTTCTTTGTGGCATTCATAAAACTTTCTAAGTTATGATCGTGTTCTTCAAGAGTACGGCCAGCAATAGTTATGTCATCAAGATACGCATATGTGTTTTGAAGCTTCTCTTTTCTTATAATCCAATCGATTGTTCGTTGGAAGCTCGAAACACCATTTGTTACTCCAAACGGAATACGTCTGAACTGGTACAAATTTCCCAGTGCTTCAAAAGCGGTAAATTTCCTTTCTTCAGGTAGTATAGGTACTTGATGATACGTACTTTTCAGGTCTATTAGGCTGAAAAATGTATTCTTTGCCACTTTCGAAACTAAGTCCTCAATGTTTGGTAAAGGGTACGCGTCAAGTTCTGTGTAACGATTAATTGTCTGAGAGTAATCAATCACAAGGCGTTTTCTATGAGTTTCGCTTTTTGT